AGGGAGGTAAAGAAATATGGATCTGGGATGTGGAAGTCTACAATGGAGAAATCTATAAATTCAAATAAACTGTGATATATCAACTAATCACAATGTATGTACCTTACTTGGATCTAGATGCACACTAGCAAATTGCATAAAAAATAAGAAGACTATTAGGGGAAAGTGAATAATTACCATATTTTTAATTATTTTAAGGAACTGCTGCAATTTGGGGTGAATGTGTTAATAGCATTTTTTTGGAGGGGGTAAAAGGGATTGAACTCAGGGCACTCAGCTACTAAGCTACATCCTCAGTCCTATTTTGTATTTTATTTAGAGACAGGGCTCACTGAGTTGCTTAGTGCCTTGCTTTTGCTAAGGCTGGCTTTGAACTCGCGATCTTCCTGCCTCCACCTCCCAAGCCACTGGGATTACAGCTCTGTGCCACAGTGCCTAGCCAATAATAGCATTTTTAAGACATCCTATTATTGACAAATACTGAAATAATTATGGTTGAAATTATAAAATATGTGGGATTTGCTTCAAGATTACATAGGAGAGACTGTGTAGGACTTTAAAAATTTGGTCATGGATTGGTAATTGCTGAAGCTCTGTGATAGGTACAAAGGAATTCATTACACTAGTCTTATTTTTGAATATGTTAGACATTTCCTATAATTAAAGGTTCATAAAAATCTTTTTGAAAAACTACCTTTAAGGTTTCATAAATTCTGTGAATTGGAAAGATATTTTCAAATTTAAATATATAGCAATAGTTTTTGCTACTATGTAACTATGTATCTTCTTCTCTGAGACATAATGTTTAAACCAAAATATCAACCAATATAATTGTTACAGTTTTTTCCTTGTTGTTCAGGATAATCTAGTCTAAGAAGTTTAGGGATTTCATAACCAATCACCATATGTAAAATTAAATCAGAGTAAGAAAAAAAAGCAAGTTCTAACAAATTTTACCTGTCATTCAAAGATTAAAAAAAATGCCTTTTTAGGGTAATAAATTCATCAGGCATGTATTAAACACTTTCCATATGACAAGCAGTCATGGTACACATCTTTAATTAATATAGTGCTAATGTTACTTCTATCACATTCATTCACTAATATACAAAATTTAATTAGTACCTCAAGTATGTTCTTGAAGTAGAAATGTGAAGTACACAACTATGAAATAAGCATGCACATATATGTACACATACAGAAGCAGGTGTGTGTGGGGGGGGGGGCGGGGGCGGGAGAGAGAGAGAAACAAAGAGATATACAAAGATTGATTGAGCTGGGGTTGTGGCTCAGAGGTACAGCACTTGCCTAGCATGTGTGAGGCACTGGGTTCCATCCTCAGCACCACATAAATATAAAAATAAAGATATTGTATCCACCTATAGCTAAAATATAAATATAAAAAAGACTGATTGTACTCAAGTTTCTCTTCATACCAGGATAGATTTTTATTTATCTTTAAAAAAACTCACCCTAATGCCTGACAGCATTTAAATTAAAAGGAGGTTTAAATGACATCCCCGTGATCTCTAAAAATTACCAACGTGGTACAAACATTGGAGTTTAACTTACCCCAGAGTCACATGTTAATTAGGCAATCTCTGTGGGAAAACTAACTGCTGTTTATAAACAGTATTAAGTGGGATGGTCTAACAAAGACTTTGATTAAGTACATTTAAGTTCATACCAGAGAAAAAGCTAGATGTCTTGTGTATGCCCTATGTTTTGTATTTTTCAGCTTTAGGACAAAAGTGAATATGAATTTGTGATGCCAATAAGAGATGTTACAACTGGGTGGAGTGTACATGGGATCTTGGTGTACAGTTTTGTGTTTATTTTCACAACTTTCTGTAAATCTATAATTATTTCAAAACAAAAAGTTTTTTTTTTCCTTCTCTAAACAGTAAAGTCTATTGAAACCACTAACACCATTTTATGGAGATAAGACTAAGCACAGTGAATTTCTCCTTTATTTATGTCTATCAATCATCAAAACAATAAATAAAATAGAAGGAAGACCAGTAGAATAGGGGAAGGGGAACAGAAGGAAGAGAGGGAAATAGGAGGAACTGGGAACTGTAATGGAGCAAATTATATTTCATGCATGTATGATTATGTCAAAATTTACCCCAATATTATGTGAAACTATGATACACAAATAAAGACATGTTTAAAAAGAATAAGTAGATTCATTCTAAAACCAAAGGTTCTGCTTAAACAAATCCTACCAGTATATATAATTTCTGCAAGTGATCTGATTATATAAATTTTCATATGATGACATGCTAAAGCAAATCCAGAGTGTAAATGGCTATTGAAAATATTGTCAGAATACTGATAGATACTACTTCTTGATTTCAGAGGACTCTTACATTTAGCAAGCTACAGGGACATTATTTTCACACCTGTTCTTCAATAAAGAGTTCTCTGGGACCAACCCACTTGCCACATTGCCACGGGACTGGCTCTCTGCCTTTGTACCCACTCTTCCTCTGATGCCAGAACTCAGGATTCTTTTCTGAATAACTGGGGATCTGTGTGCCCCTTTCTTCAGGGTAAGCTTTCTGAGGGTAGGGTCTCTGCTCTGTATCTTCAGTGCCTCACACAATGTCATAGTAACAACAGGGCTCAACAAAGGTTGAATGAACAAGGAACAGAAGGAGGAGAAAAAGGATGGATGAATGAACATAAACAGGTGGAGAGATAGGCCCTCTTTTCCTTAACTATACATGCAGGAAGATTACCAAAGCCATTTGCTTTTATCAGAAGAATGCATCCTTGTTAGGAGTCCATGCCTTTCCAGGGACCTCAAAATCCCTTCAATGATGGGCAGATTCCATGGATTGAACATGGCTATTGAAATTTTGGGGTTCTCCTGGTCCTAAAATGGAGGGCTAGTAATTGAATGAGTGCTGGGGGGCACAGGTGAAGGAAGGACAGTTGAGCCTCTTAATTCTGTGCCAGGAATTCCAGTACCATACCTTTGAGGTGAGAGTTTGGGCAGGGTCAGTTGTCCAAATTATTGATTTAGAAATGTGTGGGAGACTGTTTGTTTCTAAAACTGCAAGCTCTGAGAGCATAGTTAAAATAATATAAAGCTCTCCCAAAGAGAATTCTAATACCTCCCCTAAATCTCTGTATCAGTACAGGAATCCCCAAATCATCTCCAAGTGCAGACATGATGCTTCAGTGACTCCAGCATCAATGAGTAACCAAAAAAACTTTAAACTGCTAAACACTAACTGGTTATGCCCCAACCAATTATCTTGATTAACAATGAGAGCTACCATTTATTAGAGGCCTTCCATAGGTAAGGTGGCTGATATACTTTATTGTTATTGGAACTCAATATTTCATTTGCCCATGACCTGATTTGGTCCCCCCTCTAAAAAAAGCACATTTAATCCACAATGTCCCTGAAAGTATTGTTATTATAGGACCTAATTACCATGTATGATACTATTCCAGTGTACAAAAAGCAACACTAGGGCAGTTAGAATTCTTATGTGGATTTTAAGTACAATAGCAACTCTTATAGTCAAGCATTAGCAGGGCCATGTTAGTGGAAAATCCCTCTGCCCTAAGCCAGAAAAGGCATCAGGAGCTCCAGGATACATTTGCTCCAAAATCTTTTCCCAGTCCTTCCTTTTATAGACTCCAGGAATGGAGTTCAGGGAAGGAAGGTCCCAGGCTTTAGCAGTGGAGGAAGAGGTACTGCTGAAGCTACTGAGACAACCATCCAGTATAGCTGTATCTATATATGTCAGGCTGTGTGATCCAGAGCTTCTGAGACACGAAGCAAAAGAGGTCACCTGAGCACTTCTCTGGAAATGGCTTTACTTCCAAATCAGGCATCTGTCTAATCATACCCCTGGTTAAATAAAAGAGACATCAAGCCAACATAAGAACACCACTAAAAAGTCAGATTTTTCCAGATGGAAAAGGAAGACATTGAAGAATTATTTTGGCAAGACTGAGCTGCCCTCCTCTTATTGAGAAGTCAGCAACCCTAGGTAGTGTCGCCACTACTAAGATACAGTGAAGCCTCCTACAACATTCATGCCCATGACCTTGGCTCAACACGGCACAAGATAAACACAGACGCCCACGTGGGAAGTTGGGTTAGCGACTGGGAGAACAAAGCTTCCCGGTCCTGACCTTTTGCTCCATGAGCTGGAAAGGGCAGCAGAGAAACTGGAGGGAGACCTTCAGGCCCTGGAGAAAGAAAGACCTGAAGTTCGTTCTCACCATTGCAGAAGGAAACGCATGCTTGCTCAAGGTGGGGCCTAGACTCAGTTGTCTTGTCAGACCTTTTTTTTTTTTTTTTTGGTACTGGGGATTGAACCCAGAGGTGCTTTACCACTCAGCTACGTCCCCAGCCCTTTTTTTTTTTTATCTTAAGACAGAGACCCATTAAGTTGCTGAGAGCCTCACTAAGTTTCTGAGGCTGACCTCAAACTTGTAATCCTCCTGCCTCAGCCTCTCAAGGCACTGGGATTACAGGTGTGCACTATGAGCCCAGCATGTCTTCTCATACTTTTAAGGAAATTAGCATGCACTTCTCTTGTGCACGGTACTTCTTGCCATCAAATATATATATACACACACACACACACACACATATTTTTTTTCTCATTTTTCTCCATGTTCCACAAGGGACACTGAGAAATTCGACAATCTCATTGGGTTCATTTAAAACATAATTATGAACTTATGGTAAAAACATCTCATAGCTGTATGAGCCCTGCCCCCGTGAGGTAGAACCATCATGGTATGAGGGCTGACAGTCATCTATCCAGAGATGTATGGAATGTATGGCTGCAAGTCAGACCTCTTCAGTGATAAACTTACTAAACCACAGTGGGTTAAGGTAGTACAATCAACAAAATACCCATGAGCTTTTGTCACAGCATCTCAGCATAGGACACAGTACAGAAGGGAAGCTGGAATAGAGTTTAATGGTCTCCCTCATTTCCTATTTGTGGAATAGACTTGCTTACTTGACTTGGACATCTGCTCATCCTGGGAAATGCCAAGTTCATCTGATTCCCCTGACAGCTCCTTGATGAAGTTGGAAGGAAACATTCCAGTCTTCCCATTGAGAACACCTTCCCACCATCCTTCCTCCACCTGTATAGATGCAAAGAGAAGAACAGAGATGCAGGTTAGACATGGAGGTCCCAGTTTAATCTCCCATCTATATGGTATGGAGTGGAGCCCACATAGGGACAAAAAGAGGATCCAAAACTTAAAAATTACCAGGGAACCAGAAAGTAAGCCACAGGGTCTTGAGATTCAGACTATGGAAGGGTGGGGGGTTAAACTGTGGTCCACAAATGTAAGTGGACAACAATGAACACTGAACACACATTTCATTTTCTTTAACCTCTATGTGAAATTTGGCATTTGCTTTGTTTATGAATGTAGGTGACATAATAGAAGGACCTGTCACCAAACAAATCATAGATATTTTCATATCATATCACACATGTGTGGGGATCTTGAAATACCACTTGTACTCACTGTTACTTTGAAATGGTGGTGTAAGTTATTCTACCTGGTAGGATACCCTTGTTATTTAATATATTAATAGGAATAAACATAGATTACTTTATCAAAATTTGCTTTTAAAATAATTTGATAGCTACCTTAATACAAATAGTTCCCTTCAGAAGCCTATGTTTTCTTTTTTTAAAAAAAAAATTTTTGTTCTAATTAGTTATACATGACAGTAGAATGCATTTTGACACATCATATATAAATGGAGTATAACTTCTCATTTTTCTAGTTGTACATGATGTAGAGTTACACCGGTTGTGTAATCATATATACACACAGGGTAATAATGTCCAATTCATTCTACTATCATTCCTACCCCCATACCCCTCCCTTCCCTTCACCTCCCTCTATCTAATCCAAAGTACCTCTGTTCTTCCATAGCCCCCTCCCCTTATTGTGAATTAGCATCCACATATCAGAGAGAACATTTGGCCTTTGGTTCTTTGGGATTGGTTTATTTCACATAGCATGATATTCTCCAGTGGAACCCTATATGTGTTTCATTTTATGCATTTAAAATCATTATTTAAAAACTGAGAATAGTTGTTCCAGATTACCAAAACCAAGTAAACAACCTAACAAGAACAGTCTAAGAATTCATTCAGAAGGTAGAAAGATTTTCAATAAGTTTCTAGATGACCCTAGAATGAACTGGAAGGGGATGAAGGGAGGTATGGACAGTAGTGAGAATGCAATCATCTGGGTAGGGAGTGAAGGCTAGATCAGGGGAGCAGTAAGAATGGACAAGCAGATTTGGATTTGAGGAAATGAGGTTTGAGCTGGCCTTGAGTGATCAATTAGCTGGTACACATGAGAGAGGGTTAAAAAAAAAGATGTCATGTCAAAATTTTGTGCTGGAAGCTGGGCATGGTATGGTGCACGCCTGTAATCCCAGCAGCTCGGGAAGCTGAGACAGGAGAATGCAAGTTCAAAGCCAGCCTCAGCAATGGCAAGGTGCTAAGCAACTCAGTGAGACTCCGTCTCTAAATAAAATACAAAATAGGGCTGGGGATGTGGCTCAGTGGCCAAGTGTCCCTGGGTTCAATCCCTGGTAACCCTGCCCCCCCCCCAAAAAAATTGTGCTGGAACCACTAACAGAACAGCAGAAGTCAGAATAGTGAGCTGGCTTCTTGGAGGAAAATAAGTTCATTTTGAGAACAAGCAAGTATTAAATTACCAATATGATGCAGAATAACAAAAAGAAACCTAGAATCTTTGATTTTTTTACTATGTGCATGCACTACCAGCCCAAATCAATAAATACAATTTAAGAGCTAAAATAATTCAAATAACAAAAAGAGAAAATTAGAGTCAAAAGCCAAGTTCAAATCCTATCCTGAAACTTGTGTGACTTTATTCCATTTTTTCCTACCAAAATGAACCCCACTTTTATAATCTGTATGATAGGGATAATTAGCACATGTCACAGTTATTCATATTAAGGAAGGATCTTGATCCATATTAGAGGTTTATGCATAATGGTTCTACTCTATGAGTTGGGGATACAGAACTGTACAGGATGTGTTTATTTTTCCTGGAAAGGGTGACAATCTACCAAGACAAAGTGTGACTAACAAACTAGCAATATAAGGAAAATAAAATGAGAAAATACTATGACAACACAAATTCAACTTATATATACAAAGTCAAGTTTAGTGAGACCTGAGATGCTAAAGGAAGGCTTTGAGAAAAGAAAAGTCACAATTAAGAAAGGAAAAACAATAGCTAAAATTAGGAGAGAGGGCATACAAGACATTCCAGAAAGGGGGAAGCCGATAAAGCCTGTGAAATGGAGATAACCAGAACAATTTGTTTAGAACATTAGTTAGAGAACTCCTGGGATACAGACTTGTAGAGCAGAGATTACATTTGCGTGACCACAAATTCTTCAGGAAAGAAAGCAGACGATAGCATCCATGCAAAACTGTCCCAGTGACTATTCAATACCAATTCATGGCATTAACAGCATTTCCACTGAAATCATTCCATGTTTCTTTGCCAACTCGAGTGATATGTATTATTTTTTTCAAGGAGCTTTTTATAGGATTAAGATGGTTAGGAAGATTCACTATGAGCCTGCATATCAATATTCACAGGATTTGTAGCATGGGGTCCTTTGTGCTATTCCTGAATAAGGAACCATAAAATAACCTTCTTCCTCCCAGGAATCACAGGGCAGGAGGGGAAAACCAAGGGCATGAACCACAAATGAGCGATCTGTGGCATAGTCCCTGACTGTGCAGGGCAGCTGGGCTAATTCCATGCCACTCAGTTTGATGATGTATGAAATGTTCCTGTTCCTGGTAATAAGCAGCTCCAGTCGGAGATCCCCGAGGGAAGTGCTCCTGATGTGTAGGATCAGCAGGCTGCCTGCTGGGAAAACAGGGGTTATCTTCACCTCACCATACCCCTAGATGCCTATATCGCTGTCACAGCACAGTCTGAGAGGAGTGGCCTCTGGGAAAAAGGCAGAGGTCTATCATTAGCCATGCAGTGGGTGGAGGGGCAGACAATCAAATCACTGCTCATTGCCTGAGGGATACACTTCCCATCACAGGCGCCACGGGCACAAGGCTGTTTCTTTGTGAGCAGAGCCTTGGGGAGGGGGTGGCCTCGGGACCAATGACAGCTGTTCTGTACTATTTCTTCCTTCATACGGCTGCTTTGGACTTGAGATGAGTCTGGAGATATGAGAAAAAATGATCCTCAATCTTACACTATCCATTTTTGGAGATATTCTAGTTCAACTTCCTGCATAAAGACAAGGATACTGAAGCCCAGAGTGATGACATTCCTTTACTTATTCATCCCAAGAGTAAAGCACAATGCATTACACTGAATGAATGAATGAATGAATGAATGAGAAATCATTAGGATTTCATTTGTGTGACCACAAATTCTCCATGGGGGCTTATCAAGTCCTGATCCTCCATAAAAGGTTTTTTCCTTCCACTGAGGAACAAAAGGGACCAAGAGACCCTACTCTATTGGTCACTGTTCTTAACTAGGTCCTGTCATGTCTTGTTCTGTGTGGCCTTCTCTGTGCCGCCATTCCACTGATAGTTAATGAATGAATACTTAATCTATCTTGCACTGGCCCAGGATCTCCACAGATTCACTGGCGAATGAAACAGTCAAAGACCCCATCCTGAGAACATCTGCAACAAAAGAGAGAAACAGGCAGAGCCTGTACACCTCCTGCTCAGAAATCAAGCTGGCTGGGCAGGGGCTGTAGCTAAGTGGTAGAGTGTCCACCTCACATGTGTGAGGCACTGGGTTCGATCCTCAGCACCACATAAAAATAAATAAAGGTATTGTATCCAACTACAAAAAAAAAAAAAAAAAAAAAAGAAGCTGGCTTTTGCTGATGTTTCTGCACTTAAAGATATGCATCCCTTTATAATAACGTCACCAAGGGCTTAAATTTCTCTCCAAAGCAAAGGAATAAAAGGTAGCAAATGCCTACATTCTTCCCATCCCCACTCATAAATAGTCTTCTGCAGGCCTTAGCTCTAGGCTGAGCACAAACCCCACCTGTGTCTCTCTATGATCAACCTGACCAGCTCTGGGGCCTATGGCTATGCCCCAAGAACAAACTCTGCCTTTGGTTCAGCATTGGGAGCAGGGCAGCTTGCTCCTGGTGAGTTAAATAAAGGCCAGGTAAAAGCACTTACACCATTTATATTCCAGTGCCCTGCAATTTTCAGGTCTCTATGATCAACAGCATCTAAATGGGTTCAAGGCTCAAGGAAGTGGTTTCTAGATCATACTCCTGTTAGAAGCTGAGAAAACAATTGGGTGAATTTCAACACCTTGCACCACCCAATTATGCAAACATAATCCACATTTGTAAGGCAGGAAAGAGGATGACTGGAATAAAAAAGATGATGCACTTTCCCATGGGTACTTATTTGGAACAGCTCAAATTTATTATCCTTGAAGATTTTTACCTGTTAACTGCACTGAGAAAGGAACAGTGGGTTTGTCAAGTCTAAAGTCTACCTGAGGGTACAAGTAGCCAGACAGAAAAATCCATGTAAGGACTGCTATAGCTTTATTCATTCAATGACTACTTTGTTTTCCAAACCCTAGTCAACACAAACTGGAAGGGTGGGTTTGGAGAAAGCAATTGGGAGAAATGGACACAGAGGCCAGTAAAGTCAGATTCATTGTTCCAAGAGTGGTTTTTACCATTCTTTCCATAAAGGAAAATCAACATAAACTTCAAGGGAAGATCCATACCTAAACATTAATAAAATCTTCCTCAAAAATATTTCAGATATAATTAAATAAGGATTTCATTGTAGTTATTTCTCCTAGCCGTGAAAGGGAAGTAAAAGTATTTTGAACATTTTTAACACCAGAAAAATATTAAGATCATTTTTAGAAGTTTTTATAATTGAAGTATAATTTATATCAATGTACAGATGTTAACAGCACAGTTGGTCAGTCTTGACAAATGCTCACTGTATTCTACACCTCTATCAACAAACACGCCATTTTCACCCTCTGGAAAATTTCCTTGGGCCCCTTCCCAGTCAATCCACCTCAAAGCAATCATTAATCTCATT